AAAATGTGAACGAAGGAAGGGTTTCGCTTGAGCGATGGAGGACTTGGAACCTTTGCCCGCGCGGATTTCCCCTGGGTTCGAGGCCGGATCGCGTCAGTCTCTCTCACTGTCTCTCTTCGGAGCAAAAGCGCAAACCCACGAAATAAGCCAGAGGGCCCCTCTCAGTCTAATTCTCGTGTTGCTGCCACCACCACCCACCACTTCGCAAAGCCAGTTGCCGTGCCGTGCCGTGCCATGCACGTGTCTACTTGTGCCTCTGCTACTCAACGTCACTCACACTTTCTTGTATAAGACGTCCGCGCCCTTGATGTGATACAGGGATGACATAATATCGAAAGTAGGGGGGCTGCTGCCACGCAACGTAAGGCGCTTGCCATGGCCGGTTGGCCGAGGAATGTGACGCCGTTACAGATAGATACGAAGAAGAAGTGGCCGCAAATGTAGACTCCTAGAGCTGTAGTATGTTGGAAGGCGGCCTTGGATCCGAGACTACGTAGGTGCAAGTGAGCAGAATGTGTCATTGCAGGGTCGTAATGTGACGTCGGGGCATACCTACCAACTTGCCCTTCTTTGGCCCGGCGATCCCCCCTTTTGCCCTACCTACCTGGACCTGTTGCTGCTTACGAGAAGTGTCGCGCGAGGGTGGGAAGAAACAGAGCTCCAAATCGTACAGTGAACTTTCAGATGAGCCCAGCCAAGCCATTTACACTAACACAGGGCGATATGGAATGTCGATTTAACTCGATAGAGGTGTTTCAGAAACATGTGCCAGGGTTTCAACATCAATGTACCTATTGAAAATGTTATGTTATACACATTGAAATGCTTGTCCGACCCTTGGTCCCGAAAACCACTACGCGATGTGAGGTAGAGTAGCACGGACACACAAGAACCCAACGCGATGAGCGCAGCAACAGTCGTGAACACATCTAAAAGAAAAAACGCCATGCCGACGTGGCGCCTGCCAACCACGGGTACCGGTGTCGATGATATCTAAAAGCCAAACCTCCCCGAACTCACTCAAATTTGGCCTTGATGCCTTCTCTCCCCTTGGGACCCCCTTTTCACCACATTTCCTCCTCGCTCTGCACCATGTCCATGGTGGGAGTCTTTGGCACCATCCTCTTCATGCGCTTCCGCTCTTCCTTTGTTACGAGAGAGGGCGTCACCGGGACGACGGGCGTGAACGGCTGGTACGGCGAGTATGGCACTGCTCCAGCGGTGCGCGGCGTCCTGCCCGTGGTTGGCGAGAGCGGCCCCCTTCTCTCAAAGACGGTCTGCTTGGTAGTGCGGGCAATGGTTGATGGAGACGCCATGGGCTGCTCATATGCTCGCAGCGGCAATGAGCCTCCAGTCCTGACAGCTGACGGCGCGTTGCCTCGCTGAAATGTGACGCCGGGCTTGGGCGAAGCAGGCAACGTGGGAGACCTTGGACCGTGACCAGGAGAGGCAGGCCATGTAGGAGACCTAGGGCCATGGGTGGGGGAGGCAGGCAGTCCGACGAGAGGGACTTGAGAATGTTCCGACGTAGCCGACTCCGGGTCTCCCTCCATCGGTGCTGGATAGCCGCCTCTGCCGCTGGTCGATGGCCCGAGCTGAGCACTGATACGCTCGTCAATACTTTGGACGCTCTCGGGCGAAATGTCCGGTGTCAGCGGTGCGCCGTTCCGGCTGACGCGAGAAGCACCGAAGGATATCTGATCCGTAGGAATCGGCGGAGGTGGAGGCGGGGCGTAGTGCCGCGGGGACATTGGATTCATCTCCTGCGGTTCCTGCCGAGGGAAGGTTGACGACTGCGGTGTCATGATGGGAGACGAAATGTTGACGCCCTTTACTGCCTTCTTCCTTGGAGAGCGGAGAGCCGACAGGAGAGAAGCTGTTTTGGACTGCGGCTTTTCATAGCCGCCAGAAAGCTTCAGGTTGGCTGGCTTGGACCGTTCTTTCTTGGACGACGACGCCGACGGCACGCGATGGTGACCCTGGGGCGTCATGACCGGCGTGTCGAGCACGACACCCCTCTCCTTTGCGTCCTCATGCTCCATGACGTGCTTGTACATCTCCTCGAGCTGTTGCTGCGCCATTTCTCTATCTGCCTGGACTACTCTTTGGTCCACAGAGGGGTTGACTCCGGGCGCGGTGACTGATGATGTCGGCGACGGGTATATGTACGAGTCCGGCGGTTCGAACTGGGTGTTGGTGGGCGACGGGTATGAGAAATTGGGGACGGTCGCGGTCTTGGGGGTAGCAATAGGGAACTTGCTGAACCGGCGTTCTATGCGGATGATGCCGGGTGGACTGGAGAGGGCAAAGTCGTCGTCGCCGCCTTGGAGATGCTCGCGACGCTTCTTTGCCAGCGACAGGAGAGTGATGGCAACCAGTACCAGAGATACACCGTAGGCGGCGACAATTCCACCGATCTCAGCTGGCAGGTACTTGGGGTTTCTCAGAGCTCCCGCAGAGATAGGAGGTCCGTCCTCGGGCGCCGGCGCCGGGTCCCAGTCGATGTTGAGCGGGTTGTTGTTCCTCTCGTGAAGGACAGCCGCGGCCGAGGTGGGGTTGGAGAAGACAGTCGCAGCAAAGAGTGAGACGCTCAGCGCGGAGGTAAAGACGAAAGACAGCAGCAGTGTTGTGACGGGGTGCCTCTCCGGCATGGTGGAGAGGAGCGAGTTCCCCTTTAAAGGGACGATCGCTGCGTGGTGAGACGTCCAGGAGGCAGTTGGCGAAACATGGTCCGAGGGAGAAGTGACGGGACGGCACGAGGCAGCGATAGGGTATATACGAGTACTCGACTCCGCGGGCGGCTGGTGATGTTCGGCAGTGCGTCAAGTGTTGGCGCCGGGGCCGGGGCCTGGGCTCGACGGCGCTGGGAGCTGTCGTCGTCGACTCGCTGAGGCCCCCCGTTGGCCCCCAGGTCGGGGCCGCTGACTGGACCGCCCTGCATGGCTCTGCATGGCTGGCGAGAGAGGAGAAGGGAGCGTGCCGTCGTCGCTGCACGTCCCGCGATGGGATGCGCAGCGGCCCTCGCAGGACCGTCGTCGTTCTGCGCGTCTTGGTTGGACGGCGGGATGGTGATGGCGGTGATGGCAGGGGTAGCTAAGCGCCGAGCTTTTGGGGCCACTCGGCGGGGGCGGGCCCTGATTGGCGGGGGGCGGCCGGGTGGCGCTGCAGCCACCACGGGGCGGTCCAGGGGGGGATCTTCCATCCCGTCCAGCGATTCCGGGCCCCGCACCAGCGATCGCAGACGCTGAGAATAGTGTCTCCCCATGCCGTCCAGCAGCTTATCACACCAAAGCCCGCCCTTGCCGGCATGCCAGCCAACGCTCAACAGCGGACGATCGCGAGGGTCACAATATGTCTCGAGGGAAATGCGGTTGGTTCTTTGTTGTGCGCGTTGTCTAACTTGTGTCCATGTGCCTTCACATACACCGACGAATGCGCTTGTGTTGCCGAGAGTCGTTGGTGATGTGATGGTGAATGGTGATGGCGCCGGCGGGGCCAGGGCGGCAAATGTGCCCAGCACCAATGCAGCCTGGCGGTGTGAAGAATCGAGGTGAACGCTTTGACGAATGCACTTGCTGATACTGTACCTAATTGCAGACACCGGGGGAGGCAGAGGTGAAGAAGTATCCATGGACTATGACACTCAAGACATGCCCAGCCCAGTCGCACCAACAGATCCGCTGTGGCCAGTGCCATCGCCGGCTGCATTACGAAGTACAGTATTTCGAACGCGGAGGGTGCCCCGTTTCAAGCCAGCACAATGCCTCGGCGGTGCCTGTCGAATCGAATCTAGGTGCCCAAGTACATTCTGTGTTTGATCTATTTCCTTGGATGGGCTGGCCAACAAGATGCCCTCGCTGGAAGGAAGCTGCCTCCCGCAGGTCAAATAGACCCTCCCCTGATGGGCGCCGTTCTGCTCATTCATTGTCGCCCGCAACGGCTTCTGGGTATTCTCTGGCCACGAACTCGGCGAGCATACACTGAATCACCTCGTTCCCGTCGGGCAGCTCATCCTCCAAGTCCGCACCCAAATCGAAAAAGTAGGTGCCCATCGCCTTCTGCAAGTGCTCCAGAGACACATTCCTTCTGGTACCATGCTTCAACAAAATCTCCAAGCAGGCTGACCCTTGCCTTACGACACGATGGCAGGCATATAGAAGCGCCGAGCCACCATCGTCATCGTCATCGTCAGACCACTCTCCGTCGTCCGTACTTTGCACCTCGTCAATGCTTGCCCCGTGTTGCAACAGCAGGGCCACGGTTTCCTCAAGGTCTCGTACCCGTTGCTCGCTCATGCTCCAACCGAATCTTCGGACGCAAAGGACGTCGGTTTGAACAAGAAGCGCTGCGATCATGTACTGCTTACCGCTTCGAAACTCGTTGAAAATGGGGATATCCGTCCGGGCCCCAATGCTGAGGAGGTACTCTGCGACGCGCAAGTCCTTCAAACATGCGAACCAAAGCGGTGGGGCGTCGTCAAACTCGCGGTCGCCAGTGGACTCATTGATGTCTGCCCCGGCCTCGACCAGCCGTCTTACGGCGTCGAGGCGACGCACTTGAAACGACTCTGCGTCCATTTCGCGAGTTCGGTGCGGGAAACTGGGAATGAGGTGCAGTGGACCACGACCCACGGGGTCTCTTCCGACGGCATTCGGGTCCGCGCCGAGCTCGAGGAGTTCTTCAACGGCGGTGAGGTTCCTCTTTTGGAAGGCGTTTGCCAGGGCTGTTTTCCCATCGGCATCCTTGAGGTCGACTGGTACGCCCAGATTCGTCAATTTGCGAATCATTGCTCTGCAGATCGCTTCATCCTTATGAAATTTCGCTGCACAATGAAGAGCCGTCTCGCCGTGCCAGGTGACGTCCTTCACGCTGACCTGAGGATGCTGAAGCAGCAGGTCGATGAGGTATTCGCTTCCAACCTGGACCGCATCGCACAGAGCATGATACCCCATGGAGGAAAGGTACGCGCCCCGTGCTATGAGTGCTGCTGCGAGTTCGGGCTTTTCGGTACGGTGTACTATAGCCTGATGCAAAGGATACCACCAGCGAAACTCGAGACTACCTCCTGTCCATTTGGCACACTGGCAGAAGAAAAGAGAAGGGATGTCGAGATTGGAAACACGCTGCAGCAGGTAGTAGAAGGTATCATCATGCCTGCCGCCTAGGGCGTGATGCATGCCGCTCGCAAAGCCATTTCGGTAGGGTGTCTCATTCCATGGCAGCGGCATGTCTGTGTCGCTGCAGGCGCCCGTGGTCTCTAGGTTTGCGCCGAGCGAGTACGCCCGCTTGATAGTCTCGATGCGGCCCCTTCTGGCCGCCCAGAGCACACAAGAGTCCGAAGGACGGTCATGGACGAAGTTGTCCTTGTATAGCACCGGATTGACGGCGCTGTAAATTTCGTGGTTGGTACGCGCAAGGGCGGATGTGTCTTTGCGGCCCAGGTAGCCGGTTATCTGCTGGAGGAGCTCGTTGGGTAGTGTTTCCATGGCGTTCGCTGTTGCGCTCCGCGACTCGAAAGACTGAGAGGGAACGAAGGGAATGTAGGAGAGAGGACAAGTTCTGTCATCGCTAATAAATAGAAAACAGAGACTGCCAAAGTAATGATGCTATCATCAATGCGAATCTTGAACAGTTGGTGAGCCGTCGAAGGCTTGTTCATTAGCACGAAGTATATCACCGAGTCCTGTCAAGTCAACAAGGACCTACGCCACCGGCCACCAACCCAACCGAGCTCATATGCAAAATTCTACCACAGCAACAGAGTAATGACCAGAGTCTAAGAAAAAGCGATAGATGAATTCATTCACCGACTTAGTCCTTCTTCCAAAAATCAGGGCAAATGCTGTCGTGGCTTTGTAACCGGCTCTGCTACCCTGCACTCCCACTATGGAGGTGAATTGCCTTAGTCATGCCATCACCTGACTGCGCGATGCGGACGCGACCCTGGCGCGTGTTGCAGGAAACGCCCAGCGTGTCTCGTAGAAACACTTCCTTCAACCGACACATCAATCAATGATTGGCTCACTCTGAGCCGCTTTCCACTCGAAATCACCAGTTCATCCAAATGCAGCCATTCTCCCAACGCTGCCGACCGGGCTCGAACGCGATCGCAGCGCCGCCATGTCAACAGACGATCCTGGAACCTCCATCTTGAAGTCTCTCAACGATGCCCAGCGCCGTGCCGTCACCTCCAATGCGGCCACAGTGGCCATATTGGCCGGCCCGGGCAGTGGCAAAACGCACACTCTCACATCTCGTGTCGTGTGGCTCATTCGGCAAGGAGGCTACCAGCCGTCTGATATTATTGTCGCGACCTTCACAGTCAAAGCAGCCCGGGAGATGAAGGCGCGCATCGGCAAAGCATTGGGTGAGGAAGCGGAGAAGAAAATTGTCCTCGGCACTTTTCACTCCATCGCAAGGCGGTATCTTGCCAAGTACGGGACACGTGTTGGGCTTGACCCCAAGTTTGGCATCGCCGACGACGGCGACTCCAAGGCCATCATCCAGAGGATATGCAAGCGGCTGGATCTCAAAGTCGAACCGTTTCATGCAAAGGCTTGGATAAGCAAGCGAAAGGCCAAGGGCTCAACACCAGCGCCAACGCGAAAACATCCGGATCCGCCCGACCTGCTCACTTGCTTCAAAGAGTACCAGGATCATCTAGAGAGGTCCAACCTGATAGACTACGACGACCTGCTCGTGCGTTGCGTGGACCTCCTGAGGCAGCACAGGTCTTGCGTGTCCAATGTTCAAGCGGTGCTCATCGACGAATATCAGGACACTAATGGCATCCAGTACGACCTCATGAAACTCTTTGCTCAGGAACGCCAGCGAATCACTGTTGTTGGCGACCCAGATCAGAGCATTTACGGGTGGCGATCAGCAGAGATCCGGAACCTGTACCGCCTCTTGCGGGACTATCCTGAAACTGATGAAGTGTCTCTGGAGGAAAACTACAGATCGTCGCAGTCGATTCTTGACATTTCACTCCATGTCATCCAGCAAGACAAGAAGCGTTACCAGAAGGTACTGCTTCCAGTCCACAACAAAGGCGCGAAACCGGTTTTGCGAAAGCTCAAGAGCTCCTCCGCAGAGGGCGAGTGGATCGTGGCAGAATTGCGACGAGTCGTCATGCTCTCCGGAGGCATGCTCAAGTACCAGGATGTTGCGATATTGCTCCGGTCAGCATCCCTTTCACGACACGTTGAGTCTGCGTTAGGGAAGGCAGGCGTGTCCTATCGCATGATCGGCGGGCACAAGTTTTATGATCGCAAGGAGATCAAGATCTTACTAGACTACCTCCGCGTGGTCTATCAGCCCGACAACAACGACGCCGTGGCCAGGGTCATCAACGTTCCACGACGGGGCATTGGCGAGGCGACAATCAAGTCGTTCCTGGAAGAAGCTGAGCAGGCGAAGATGAGTGTGTGGTCACTGCTGTGGAAGCACTGCCACGGGCAAAGAAAAGCTACAACCAACATTCGGCCCAAGATGGAACAGAAGCTAAACACAGAACTGCTGAAGATTGTGTCGAGTCTGAGGCACAAGGCTGGTCAAATGACGGAAAGCAGTCAGTTTACGTTGGTCGATCTCCTCGATGACCTTGTCCGTCAGCTTAGCTTCAAGCGCTACCTCGAGGAGGAATATGAAGAAGACCACGAAGGGCGATGGGCCAATGTACTGGAGCTCATCAATCTTGCAGCCGATTTCACCCGAGACTTTGGCAAAGCGGATGAGGATGCGCTTCCGGATATCGAGGACGTCGAGCAATCGAAGGAGGACGACGTCCTCGGCCGTTTCCTGGCCAATGTCGCGTTGGCATCAGATGCACAAAAAGACGAAAAGGACCAGGACACGTCCGCCATGGTGACGATATCAACGATACACGCAGCGAAAGGCCTCGAGTGGCCTGTGGTGTTCGTACCTTCTGTTTATACCGGATCAATTCCTCACTCTCGAGCTGAAGACTCTGACGAGGAGCGGCGACTCCTGTATGTCGCCATGACGCGCGCTCAGGCACTCTTGTATCTGAGCTGTCCGTTGTATGGCTCACAGGGTCTGAGCAACAAAGTTGAGCTTTCGCCCTTTGTGTCCCCGTTTGCTGCAAGGTTTGCGCAGAAGGGGCCATCGTTCGACAAACCGGTGGTCGACGCAGCGGCGGCCATCTTGGGCAGAACGGCGCCGACGCAGCAGATCATATTCGACAAATTGCCGCCCATGTTCTCACCGGAGGATGACATGTTTCCCATCGAACCTTATGACCCGAAGAACGCGGACGGCCTCGAAGATGACCAGAAAAGCCACCATGCCCGAGCTCCGAAGAGGCAACGGACAAGTTACTCGAAAGGGGGAAGCGACGACGAGGCGGAAGGGGAACAACGGCCGTGGAAACCTGACTACTCTACCACGATGGAGAGGTCGTCCGAATTCACAATGTCCTCGCTGCCTGGATTCGTTAGCGCCGGGGCACACCAGTCGGCTCTATCCGCGGCTGTTGCTGCTGCTGCCGGCGCCCAAGATGCGCGCGCGTCGAAGAAGCAGCCAAAGACGGGCACTACGCGGCGGAAGCCAGACCAACGGAGCATGCTTGGATTCATAACAACGGAGCCCAGGACGTCGGGTGACCCGCTTGCGAAGAAGAACCCGAACGACCTGTCCCTGATGCGCTATCAGGCAACCGCCTCACGACACGCAATGAAGCCAGCGCCTCCTGCGGTGCCTTTCAGTGCGCCGAAGCCTGCAATTGACCCGGCTCTTGCTGGGCATAAGCTGCCGAGTGCCGGGACGCTCGCGCAGCCTCGGCCGGGAGGAAGGGCGGATGCAGAGCAACGAAAGCAATATGCCTGCTTCTCAAGCTCGCCGCCCCGCGCATCAACACCCGAGGAGGAAAAAGTGAAGGCGGTCCCCGAACCGGAGCCCGCCAGGCCTGCCGCGAGCTTCCATACGACAACGTTCATGTCCGTGAAGCCCCGCGCCGGGGTGAGGCGGCCGGTGGGCATGGGCCCGGCCCCATCCATGGACCGGCTGCGGAAGCCGTTCAAGCCGCTGACGATTAATCGTCCAAAGGGCCCGAGCGGGTGAGCGCGCCGATTCACGCACGGGACATTCCGGGCGACTGTTGCAGAGGTGCTCTGGTCGGGTTGAGTAAGGCTGCACAGTACTTGTAAGGCCGGCTCCGAGAGTGGGGCCATGACACGGAGCGTTATGGTTAAGCATAACGGCCACGACGTCGGGGCGTAAGGCAGGCGAAACATCAAGCACGTATAAGTATCTGCCTTCAATTCGATTGAGAAATCAATGTCTGGCATCATCAGACAACAAGTCAATCAGACCATCAGTCAAAAGCTTCCAAACTCAACTCGTCTTCGGACAACCATCCCATCAAACAAACAACCTGCCGCCGTCCACAGCAACCTCTACCCCACCAAACCTCCCATAATCCAACACCACCACCTTAAATCAACATGTCTGCCATCACTTCCGCCGCCAGCCGCCTCTCCTCGCCCGTCGTGGCCGCCACTGCGCGCCGCGCCGCCGCCGCCGCCGCCAACTTCTCCACCTCTGCGCGGGCGCTGAGGCCAGAGGCCGTCTCCGGCGCCGCGGCGCCATCGTCGAGCTCCTGGGCGAGGAGGAACCTCTCGCCCAAGACGCGCCGCTACGTGGTCTACGGGCTCGGGGCCGGGGCCGCCATCGACAGCTACGTCATCTACAACTACTTCCCCGGGATTCTGGGCCTGGGCGAGGACAAGAAGAACTGAAAATGAAGCGGGGGAGAGGGGTTGGCGTGGACAGGGATTTGGATGAGCCCTGGCAAAGCTGGAATCTGTTTTACGAATACATGGCATGGAATTTTTGCGCGGGTGTGGGCACGTTTGTAGTAGAACTTGCGATGACATAGACTGGCGGCGGTAATTCAATAACATAGAAGAATATGCATCATGCTCACCGGTCTTCGGGTATGCGCGCGCAAACACCAAACCTGCCAAGTCAAGTTCGCCAAGGTGTCAGTCGCCAATACCGGATGAGGCGACATCCGGCAGACACAACCGCAGCGCCCACCCGTCCTGCCCGAACCCAGCACAAGGACGTCGCGCCAGATCGCCAAGGAAAAGTAGCTGCAGCGTACGAATTGCCCGATCAAGCAGTCTCGCCGGCGCCTATGCGGAAAGTGGTCAAGCAGCTGTCCAGCTTGCAGACCGCCCGCCGGCTGCCCATCCGTACGAACGCACGGTGATTGAAAAGGGGGGG